TAGTAACAAGTGCCTTACTAGTAGTAACAAGAAGCTATTAGAAACAAGAAGCTTAAATTAAAAAAGGATACCTATACTAGCGATGGCCTCCAACCTGAGAGCCATGGCCTTTAACCTAACAGCGATGGCCTCCAACCTACTAGTGATGGCCTTTTGATGCCTTTTGTGCCGGAGGTTGAGATCATCTTGAGGCTGCAGCATGTTAGTTGATGGATCAGATCCTCCGTTTTCCACTGGTCTTCAGCTCATGTTCGCAACTCGGACGTGGCCCAATACTCTCCCTGTGGCATTCATTCAGAGATGTGCCATCCCCAATCTCAAGTGTGCCTGGGTGAAACTGCCCACATTAGGCCAAGTCCTACTCGAACAAACAATCACCATCACGACCCACACACTCAGGGCCTGGTCACCCCATGTCACCCCCAGAAGAGCTACCTACCTGGGTACTTACCAGCACCCTCCAACAGGTGTTTCCTGGTGACAACAGGTGTCCAGAAACCACCTGCTAGGGTCTCCAAACAGCCTGTTGGAGGGTCCTGGTATGGGATATAGTCCGTAGGGTACTTCAACCTCTGTTGGTACATCCAACCACCTCACGACTCCCCAACGTTCGTTGAGTGCCAACTCCCTGCACGGCCGACACCTGTCTTGCAGTCCTTAGCATTCTTGGGGAGTGACACCGGGTTGTGCACGTGTAGAAACATTCTTGTAAGAAAGAGGTCACCCGGAACTCTTCCCAGAACGTCCGCCTCATTCCATGCGCTCGATGAGGGAGAACTGCTCGTTGAAGGACTGAGCGCCCAACCTTAGGACTGGCCGAGCGCCCGACCTGGCGGGATCGAGACCCGTGGCACCAAGCCTTAGCCCCTCAAAAACCCCGCGGGCCCTCAAACCTCAAGCACAGCTGGGGGGGAACCGGGTGCGGACCTTTCCCCACTGCCCTTTCGGTGGAGAAGGTGCTGTTCCCGAACTGGAGGGCACGTACGTTCACTCGGATTCTGGGGGAGGACCCGTTCGTAGCTTCTTGTGGCTAGTGAGCGCCCCATTCGTAGCATGCGAGTAGCTCCGTTCCGTCGTGTTGAATGGTGAGGGGCTCGCCGCCGGTGGCCGGTTGGACTGGTTGGACGACGGGGCGAGACGGTGACCCAGTGACATAGGACTTCAAGAAACGCTCATGAAAATACGAAGGAACACTTGAGCGAAGTCCTTTCCGAGCGAGGAAAAGGAACAGTTGGATCACCCAAAACCGCCAGCTGAGAATTTTTGATCTACCAATTCTTCACGACGACTGGCGTCGGGGTTTGCTCTGGACTCTGGACCACGATAGGTCCCCCCACGAGGCCAGGTTCTCATCGCTCAACTGCTGCGCGCGACCTGGGATCCGCGACCTTCTCGCGGCGAACTGCAGCGATGGAGCACGGGAAAAAGACCCAAGGGGGGCGAATTGGGGGAGGTCTGTGCCATTTTTGAGCAGATCAGAAGTGGTGGGGTACAAGCAAAAGGCGATTCTGGCACCATCCTTTTCAGCTAAAGAGATGACACCAACAGTTGAAAAGGTGCCCCCCCTGTGTTGCAACCGTTCGGGCTAGCCAACAGCGGACAAGCCAACAGGCTTTCCTTCTCAAGTTCGGCCTGGTTTCAGTCCCAGGAACCAAGGCTAGCTTGCAAACCACACTCCAGACCACTGCTATGGCCCTACTGGCCCTACTTGTTATTATACTATATGCCTATATGCCTATACCCCAGCGAGGGAGGAACGTGCTTTTGCTTTGGGGCGGCCCGGAACACGCGTTCCTCTTCGGACGGCGACCCATCAACGGAGGCGGGTTCTGACTTGTTCTGACTCCAACTCGTCCTCCTGTGGTAAATCCACCACCCAGACGCGACCTGAACGAAAGGCCCGGAATCCTCTGGAGGGATCAATTCCTATGCCCTATAGGGCTCCAAGTACCTTCTGAGAAGGTGGGACTGGGGTGGGTTTTAGAGTCTAGAGGGTCCAAATACCTTCTGAGGAGACACTTGGAGCCCTAGGGCATAGGAATTGCTTCGGCACCCGGTCGACCTGTTTTCACGGCGCCTCCGCCAGTCGCGAAACCCCCTCCGAAACGGCGACGCCGCATGGGCGGGACGGGCCGACTCTGCCCGGGCGCTGTGCAGCTTCCGGTGCACTCGTTGCCTGGGGTCACGGCCGAGGCGCGAGGCGCCACGGCGGGGTGACCGATCCAAGGAGAGACGAAGCTCCGAGCCAGTTCGGGCCAGGCTGAGGGGGTTGGCAGCACAGGAGTCTGGCCATGTCGTTTGTCCTCCCAACAAAAAGTGCATTTCTTCCCCCGCTTTTTGGAGTTATTTGGAGTCCAACAGATTCCAGTTCTACCGATGAGTTGTGGTTCGGAAGCATGTGCTTGAAGACTGCAAATTCGGTGCCCGCTCCTTGCAGCGCAAGAAGCCAGTGACAAGGCTGGCTCGCCAGTCTCGCATCAACTCCCCAGCTATCTTGTTCTCTTCTCCTCATTCATCCCCCTTAGGTTGGAGGCCATCGCTAATAGTTTGGAGGCCATCCCCCTTAGGAATGCTTATGACGTATGATGGGTGGCTTGCCCGGCCCGGTGGCTTGCCGGCAACCAAACCTCTTGCCAGTATGTTCTCCATTCTTGTCCAACTACCCCCGATGAAACGAGCGTTGCGGAGGCAGCGTCTGCGTCACGCCTGCGTCTCGAAACCGAGATGGCCCAACAAGATAACGGGGTCCATTTTGGACTGTGGAAGTGCTCTTGTTCTCAACAGGACTCTGGTGCTCCATCTCCGGCCGGGTGGCTGCATGTAGCTATTTCGGTCCAAGCCATTGAAGAGCGCCGCGCCCTGCTCTGGCCTGTGGGGACACTGAGAACTACGAGAGCTAGGCCCATTTGAATCCGACTTCACCAGTCACCACCTGCGACGAATTTTGAAGCTGCACAAGACTCGAAAGGAGACCTGTCAAGACAGTCGTTCTGGTAGAGGACCTCGTATGTCTTCCCTAGAAGTCGAACCACCATTGTTTTAATAGCCTTTACCGAACAACCATTGTTTCACTAAGGGTTTTACACTACAAAACCAGATCGTTCCCATTTAAAGAATGGTCTTTGACTTCCAGGGTCTATTCCTTCTCGCTGTGGCTTTGGGTCGAGGAGTCTCCAAAACCACTCATCGACTAGTTGAAATGACCTCCTGAGCCAGGCATCCAAAGGAGTTGATGTGGCATCCATTCCAGGGTCTTCTTCTTCTATCGTACCCACTCAGCTCAACTGGTCAGGAATCGACGTACGAGTCGTGACGCCCTGTGCGCGGCGTGAAAACGCACGCGTTACGACGCCGGCGGGCGTTCGGTGCGGAAACCGCGCGGCTCCACAAACGATGGAGCTTGGCTTTTTCCTTGAACATGCTGACCAGGTGCTGGTTCTGGTTGCGGTTTGGCCTTGTCCTCCTGCGATTGACCCAAATCAAACCCAATTCCTTTTACAACTTCTGGGCTCTTGGAGCCAGCTCCAGGAGATGTGCCCACAACTTCGTGCCACCAAACCGAGTTCTTCCCCTCCACCACCACCAAACCAGCGCCGCTCTTCCGAACGCCGCTCTCTGGCTGACCTGCCATGCGACTTGGCACTCTTCACCTGAGCCCGGCAATGGTGCGACCGGGAGTGAAAGAGGAAGGGAAGCAGAACCATGAAACATGGGACAGTTGAGGACAGTTGAGGACAGTTGAACATGAACCTGAAATGAAGAACCTTGTACATGGACATGGACAGTTGAACATGCACATGTACCATGAAATCATATGAACCTGAACATGGGACAGTTGAGGGAACGAAGCCTTTCTTTCGATGACGCCGAGAAGGAGTCGTTCGTGTCTCGCGAAAGAAGCATCAAGCCCATCTTTGACCAGAAGGGGGCACCTCATCCTTTTCGTTTCTATCTGTGGCCGCAACTTGCATGAAGCTGGCTGGAGCAATGGTTTATCCTCAACTCTCCTGTTCATTTCGGATTCTTCACGCAAGTAATGAACAGAATGGACATCTGAAAAGAACTCATGCAACAAATCAACTCTGTCGCATTTGGGGGCAAGCCAAAGACTGTGCAAACCGAGGGACAAAGGGCATCTGATAGATGTGCTGGGGATTTCATGGAAACTGCATCCAGCATGGCTTACACTCCCGAAAACTAACATAGACCCTGACAATGGGCCCCCCTGGAAGATTGTTTTCCTCTACCAACCAGTGGTTTTCAGGGTCCATGGGCTCGTCTTCCAGCATGGCTCCACGTCTTCTGATCCTAGTCCTAGTCTGTTTCACAGGTGAAATGACTGAAGCCCTAATAAAGCTGTAGGGAGTTCCCCGGTTTCATCACCCGAACCTTCCAACCTCGACGCCTTGCTGTGTCATCGGATGCATATCTGACATATCCTGAAAGGCGAACGTCACGCGGCGCAGTACGCGCGGTTCGCCTTCATGAAGCAGTCAGGCTTTGTCATTCCAAAAGAGTACCATTGACTCTTCCCTTCGACCAAGCCATCGAAACAGACTACCTGTTGGGCCCTCGGGGTAGCGTCGCTGGACCCACCAGGCCGTAGCCGTTGCGCCCAACCCCTCTGCCCCGGCTCCGGCTCCGGCGCCGTGCGCCGTGCGGCAGCGTCCAAAGCAGTGAACTGCTCGTTGAAGTTCATCTCGCCGATCTGGAAGAGCTCTGCATCACCTGACGGAAGTCAAACGAACGGAGCGAAGCGGAGCGAACGGGGGGAGAACGGTCCCCGGTCCCAGGAGTCGGGGAGAAAACCCGCGGTCCCGGCGAAATGGTGGGCGCCAAGTTGCATCGAATTTGGGATGACTGGACGAGGAGAAGGGCGATTCTCTTCAGATCAACTGCGTGGAGGCCCAGTGCATCAGATCTTACAGTAGTTGAATCCAGTTCACAGATACAGTGTGTGCCGTTTTCTCCAACTCTGTTTGGAGGCCGATCAAGACAAAACGCTCCTGGCATCGCTACGAATGGAGCAATGTTCGCTACGAACGGGGGAACGGGGCTCCTGTCCAACTCAAAGGGTTTCTTCAGCTTCACCATCTCCGTTGTACACGAGGCCGACTCTACAAGTGTGTGCTCCAGGCCCCAGGGCTTCCAGTCGCAGGTCACCAGCCCTGTAGAGTCAGGTGGAAACCTGAATGTCGTTCTCCAACAGCTTTCTTCTTCAATCCAAATACCCAGACGCTCCTGGACCCTCATATGGAGGGGTCTGGACCCTCAAATCCCTATGGTTTTGAGGGACCCAAGGGCTGTTTGGAGCGCCTGGGAGGATGTTTTTCCTTTTTCTTGAAAGGATGACCCTTCCCAGCTTGGAGTTTTTAGGATCCGAAGGTAGGCTGAGGTAGGTTTATGGACGGAAGAGCCATGTAGGGACACTTCATGTCCTCCGGTCCCATAGCCTCTGCATCCTCTTTTTGTTAAGCTTCGTGAAACAAAGGTCTCCACAATCTTAGACGATTTGTGAGATCCCATCTGTTCTCATATGGGAGACATGATGCCCCGCATTGGGGGCACCAAACCGCCAGCATCACCATCTCCAACATCTTCTGGAAATGATTGCTTCGTTGCACCCTCGGAAGGAATGATCCATGAGTTTGGTTTTGGACACATGAAATAGATGGATGATCCTGGGAGAGACCGGAGAAGGCAGAGTTGCAAGCCATTCGGGTGACTTGTTTTCACTCGAGCTTCAAGGGTACCCTGCGGTGCAAAAACTCTAGGGACGTCAAGACATGAAAATTCAAACTCCGCTTCTGCTCTGGTGATGTGTGGTGCAACAGTTCAAACAACGACGCTTTCGGGTCTTGTTTCGAGAATTCTTCATACCAGAGCAGTTGGGACTTGTGTGAAAGCATTCACCCGTCGTGCTGAACCACAGATACTCTGTATCTGGCCTCGGACCGGGTGTCTCGAGGTTCAATCGTCGGGTCGCAACGATCGGGGCGCTTGAGGCGCTCGCGGATTCTTGGCCTGGTTCAGGCTCACTCTCAGAATCGCTCACCTTCTCCTTCTGGTGCTTCTTCTTCTTCTTCGGTTGTGGCTCTGTCGATTTCATGCACCAAACAAACATGTACTCCATGAACCTCATGGTCATGTAAAAGAGCAACATCATCATGAACATGTAGAGGTCGCCATAGTCATAGGTGGCGTGGTGCTCTGTGGGCTGATCGCTCTGGGCAGCCACTGAGTACATCATCATTGAGGCCAGCAGCAACCGTGGAAAGGGCGCAAAACCCAAAGTCATCCATGAAGTGACTCCACGGCCATTCAACTTCACCTCATCCTTGATCTGCTTGTCACTCTTGAACAAATCCTCTTCCTGTAGTTCAGACAAAGTCGGGAGTCGTCTGAGGAGGATTCGGTGGTCACCGGAGTTCTCCACTTCCACATAGCCAGTGCTCAAAAACATCATCATTCGAAGTGACAGCATGGGCTTGGTCAAACTGTCTGCCAGCATGGATCCCGTTGGAGCCAGGATCAGGTAGCGCAAACGACCGCTCACTCTTGCCTCCTTGATCGCCAAGATGTAGAGGCGTTGAAGGCGATCCTGTGGAACTCCTTTGGCACCTGTTGCCAGCTCAAACAGATCTCGACAATCTGTGACCGAGTCGACCGGAATCCTGGTACTTGGTCAGTGTGGCCAAGTTGGGCGCAGGTTCATCCAGCCAAAGCTCAGTCAATCTTGTTGACACCATCGATGAAGCTTCTAGACCGTTCACTGCTGACAAGGTTTCAGCATGGCTGGTGGAGTATGAAACCCGCTTAGATTTCCCTCCGTGGGCAAACAACATATGACCAAAACAACAAAGCCTTTTGGCACACTCTGAGCTGCATGTGATCTCATCCTGCCGGAGCATGTCATCATTCAGTTCCGGCATGAGCAGCACCATGATGCCCTCCTGGGCGTAACTCTTGCCCTTGGTGGCGGATGAAGCGTCGTGGAAGCAGCAAAGTCGCAGCTTGATGCCAGGCCGAAAGAAGTGGTAGTGAAGGCCAAGGTCAAGCTTATCTGGAGAGCAAAACTTCTTCACGACTTGGTTCGCCAGGCGAAGGTGGCGCACCTGAGCATTTGGTACTGAAGACTGAAGTACCCCAGTGTCAGCGACCAGGTCAAGTCGCGTTGAACATAGCCACATCAAACCTCCGATGACGGAGCGAAGCTGCGTGATCTCCTCTGGCGTCAGCTTTCGATCATCAGATCCAGAAGGTTCAGGTGCCGGCTTCAGTCGAGATGCGAAGTCACTTTGATCCACTTTCAGACCTGAAGAGGTGCGGCTATATCTGCAGCCGCAGTGCGAAAATGGAAGGCTTTCTTTGGTGATCTTGCCAAATTCCTTGCACATTGCCTTGTAGAGACCGTCAAGGAAGTAGGGAGAGCCAGCAACTGCTAGGTCATCTACATAGGTCATCTACATGAGTAGTGAGAGCTGCTTGCAGTGCAGGCTTCTTGGCTGGATCCTTCCAAAAGTAAAAGCTGTCGTCGAGATGCGAAGCGACACCTTTCTGCTTCTTCAAGAACTCTCCCAAACTCAGCTGCCACGCAACAGGTGCATCGTTCAGGCCGTACACTGGCTTCAAACACCAAAGACCATAGCGTGGAATCTCCCAAGGTTCAAGGTGGAAAGAGGGGTCCACCTTTGCCAAGTGTCTCCAGCTGTTGTAGGGAGGAATGACCACAACAGATCGGATAGGTGTCTTGATGCCTTGCTTCAACAACAACTCTCGGACGCGGTCAAAGGTTAGGCCCTTCAAGAAAGCACCACTTACGTCCCAGGACTCAGGAAGGCAGTTCATCACTGCTGCCGTTGACAACAGAATCCTCTGGCTCAATCTGGAGGCCGTGGTGGAACGAGTGGATAGTTCTTGCTTCTGAGGGTCAAAGCAGCCCCTGGCGCACATCCGGCTCTTCAAGATCTTCTTTCCTTGCTTGTACTTCCAGCATCGCACCCAAATGCCATCGATCACCACGGTGTCGGCCAGGATGTCTTCCAAAAGCACCTTCTCAAATGCTTTCTCCTGGACGAACTGTGCCAGTTCCTTAGCATCTGCTTCTTCGACCAATGGCCAGAGATCTGCCAGCTCTTCTTCCTTGATGTTCAACTCATCCGTCAACGAAAGATAGCTGCCTCCGTGGGCCAGATCCAAATGAACATGCCGAAGGCGGCTTCCAGGTTGATGGACCAGGTATGAGGCGTGTCGTTGACGAACTTGATCAGCTTGGCAGGAGAAATGAGCATTCACTTCTTCCATTGTCAGGCCATTCATCCATCTTGGAATCTCCATGGTGGATGCCCAGAAGTCTTGTAGTCGAAGTCGATTCATCTTCTTACGATCAAGCATCCAATGGAGAGTATGCAGTGTCTGGTAGGTGTCATAGCTGGGAAAGGTCTCATAGATGCGTGGTTTCTTGTCTGGCACCAATGCTGGTGATCTCACTTCAGGTTCCATTCGCTTGGAGGGAACTGATGGCAAAGTAGATTCAACTTCCATCTCCTCTGGTGGTGTGTCATCTTGGATGGCAGAAGGCTGTGCACTGCTTGTCGATGCTGGTTGACTCACAGGTGGAGGCTCTTGTGTCACAACCGGGTAGAGGAAGTACAGCGCGCACATTGAGTCCCAATGGACATGGTATTCCTTCTTCAGTCGCATGTGCCTGTCATCCTCTTTCTGAACTTTGACGTAGTCGGTGGTGTTCTTCAGCCAAATCAAAATAGTTCCTCTTGTTCCAGGAGGTGGCTGAAGGGTGTGTAGAGCCTGTCCATAAAGTAGGCCATGCACTGGATGATGAAGCCAGTGAGACCATTTTGAGAAAGAGTCAATAATCTTCTGCTGCTCTTCTCGAGGTTGTGCTGGAGTCAATCGCATGGTGTGGCCATGACTTTCAAGGATCATCTTGTAGCCGAGGAAGTACTGCTTGTACTGTTGGCTTTCTTCAACCATCTTCATCACTTGATAGATCTCTTCGTGGTTGGTGTCCATGTTGAAGTAAATGCCTTGAAATGGCCGGACAAATCGCAGTGGCATCAGATATGGTCTTCCTTGGTACTTGACGACGGCGGTGCCTTCATCTTGACGACGGCTGGTCCTCGCCAGTTGCCATCTCGATGGATCTCGAGCTGAGATGTGCCAGCGGTGAGTTCTGCAGTGTCCAATTTCTGAGGCCGGGAACGTGTAGCCCTTGCGATCCTATCTTCTGCAATGGACTGTTGAATGGCAGCCATGGCGTTGGATCGCAATCTCAAAGCTGACTCAAAGATGGACACGTCTCGGTCCGTTGAGCCATTCACTGCAGTCAAAGTCTCAGCCTCAAACTCAAACATCGCTCGAGGAAGCACACCAAACACGGCCATTGCTGGAGTGTATCCTCCATAGGTCAAGCAGAGGTTGTGGGACATGGCCGCTTCCATTGCAACCTCGTTGTCTTCACAAAGAAGGCCTTGTCGATCCATCTCTGCTTTCATCTTCTGCATGGTCAGTTTGACCAAACTGGTGTGTCTTTCGATGAGGCCAGTTCCGGTGTGCTGAGCTGATGCGGGACCGCTGGTTGTGCCTTTTGGATTTCTTGTGATGCCAAGTCGTTCAAACTCGATGCCTGACTGCGTTGTCATGATGGCAGTCTCTTGATCTCCAGTGAGGACTCGCGTGGGGCCAAAGAAACGAATCCAGTGTGTGAT